CTTCTAATGATGTACTGCGATTCTGGCCTGGCCTAACCAATTACGTCAAGAAGAAGAGCCGGGCTGATCAAAAGGTGAAAGTGGGAAGCAGTAGAAAATAAAGAATCAGACCAACTCAGGAGAGAGCGGGAGATGATTGAAGTTGTCAGATACAGCATTCGACAGCGATAAGAAACGCAATGATGAAACAACAGCTGATCGTAGTAGGATCAAAAGGATTTTCCCGCTACACCTAATTTATCGAAGGTCGCCTTTTGTTTCTTCGAGAACGCAATAACAGTTATTTTTAATGGCCTTCGTTCCAACGTAGGGTGCTTTCGCGCTATCCACGTAACCGCTAAACTTTCTGCAACTACAATGTGGCATACGTTGTTTCCATCGTTTCTCCGTAAAAAAAATGATTTATCTGTCATTTGCATGAAAATCCACTTTTTCGCTGTCCACCTGTGCGTTCAGTGCATTTTGTAAGTATCTCCAAAAAAGAACAGAGAAGAAAGAGTGGTGAGAACACAGATGAATATTCAAAATTTAGTTAAAAGTTACATGGTCCTTCTTATACACTCTTTTTTAAGAGATGGAGGCACTCGAAAACAACCCGACTGATAGCAAATAACAACAGCAACTAACCACTGGTACGGCTATCAATGGTCTTCTTTTTCAAGGGTTGCTTACAAGCAAGCTGCTGGCACGTCTAACTACTCGTTGTCCGCCTGTGCGTTCATTGCATTTTGTAAGTATGTCCAAAAAAAAGAGAAGAAAGAGTGGTGAGAACACAGATGAATATGCAAAATTAAGTCAAAAGTTATAAGATCCCTCTTATACACTTTTTTTGAGAGACGGAGACACTCAGAAGTAACCCGACTGATAGCAAATACCAACAGCTATTACTCACTGTCACGATTATCAGTGGTCTTCTCTTTCAAGGGTTGCTTACATAAGCAGGCTGCTGGCAGGTCTAACTACTTATCATGTGTCAGTGTTAAATTATAATCAAAAAGAACCGTATAAGGATTGACTATCGAAGTAACGGGGCCGAATCCTCGATTTTCAGCACGCAAACAATGCTACTTACCTCTGTGCCATGTCTGACGGGGCAAAACGGACAAGATGGCGACACAGGACAGGAGGGCAGAAAAAAGTCAACAGCGGAAGGTGGTAGTTACTGGGGGAGCTACTCAGGCAAAAGCATTATAAACTGTGGCGATTTATTATTATTATTCCGCTGGGAAAACATTGCACTTTTGTTTTTTTTTTTCAAAGTACATCTTGTCGGAATGAACGAGGCACAAAAGCCTCTTGAGATGCTTGGGAGTAAATGATTGATTTCTAGGACAACACCCTGGCTTGTACAAAGGAAAGAGACACTTTTATGTTTTCAATTTTTTGAAGGACTAACTTTAGAAGTCAGAAATTTTTATGAACTACACAAAAACAACTTTTGCGAAATTTTTAAAGATTCAAATTCATTCGTTCTGGCAACATAAAATATGATCCGAGTTCACCGTTGAGTAAACCCATTCTTCTACGATTCGTTCATTCGTTTGGATGTCGACATATCTCAGTTAAACACACCCATTATCACTCGCTTCTAAAGTAAATCCAAACAAGGAAAGTTATCAAGGAGCATGCCAAACGTTGTTATCGTTGAAAAATTTAATTATTCGCGAAACTTAAATGCCTCCATTTTCCAAACAGGAATGTGTGAGAAGTTTTGATTTTGTCTCTTGAAAATTTCCTTTTGTACGTCGTCTCCTAACTCATTACCGCAAAAATAGTAGCTTTAGAGCGCGACCCCCCAAAAAGTTTACTCTTTTCGAAGGTTGTTTAAAAAACAAGCTGAAGTCGGTTGTGTCTCTACTACGTATATCAGTACGAATTTTCCACGAATACCACATGTAAAAAGGTCACTGATGTGCTGGTGCGATTCGCTAACTTAATTGTACGGGATACTGTGGATGAGGTGAGCTTAGGACAGAAGTCGGTGGCGTGATTTTCGGCTCAGTCACTGGAGAAGATCAACAGCGCATAAGTGACGGGGACGCCGTATCAAGGATCAAGCAAATACCATATTTGTCCGGACGATTTGTGTGCTATCGCACGTTAGTGATGTTTCTAAGAAGGTCTTTCTCTCAAGCGCCGGGAGAGCAGCTATGCCGAGCCCCCAAATCAGGATTTATTATTCGAAATAAAATTAATTATTCGAGGACTGTTTCCAGATTCGACACTTACCCCGGCCATGAAAGTGATAATTCGAATGCTCCCTGCAGAGCCAGCCAGAACGATACCACCGGAGCTGTTGCAGTTCATGGCCATGGCTGTTTCATCGCTGAACATGCAAAGTGCTTCAGTTGAGATGGCATTGTCACGCACGGAATTGCTTTCGCAATCATATTCGATCAATGTACGTTTGGCATCAGCACAGAGAATGTAGAGCGAAGAGATACTGACAAATTGCGCATCCATGAAAACATCCGATCCACGAATTTCCAGCTTACGCAAAGCCTGCAAAAAATTCACCGTATTGCGAGAGTTTTCATTCATTTCACTTTAAATTTAGACGGAAAAAGCCCTTTGAAAGAAGGATCGCACTGCTGACTTTGCGAAGGAAAATACTTATCGGCGAAGAAAGAAACTAACTACCCGGAAGAACACTGAAAAAAAAATCCATGAAAACATCCGATCCGCGAATTTGCAACTACTTTTTGCACGCATTTGTACTGCAGAACAAGGGCATCAATTGAAGAAAAGGAGCTTAGAATAGAAATATCTGTCACTCAGGCTTTACCTCGAAAACTGAGACTCACATCTTTCTACAACCTATTTCACATGAATCTTTGCCCTCACTAAATATTCGCCGTTAGTATGATAAATGTAAAGAAAACCAGAAATTTCTGCTTAAATTTTTAGGAATTTCAAACGAGTGAAAACCGTTCTGGATCAATTGAATGCAGAAATCAATTTAGGCACTTCGCATGAACGGTGAATTACTCCAAGTGCTTATTTAGACGACACTGCGCTTATCATTGAAAATCCAAAGGTATGACAAGTGTGGATAAAAAGGTTTCAAATCTATAAATGGAGAACCGAATGGATGAAGAAAGCGGTACCCCCGGTTCGAAATTTGACTCAAGAATCACTCTGTTGATCTTGTGAATAGCTATAATCACTTGGGAGCAACAATACAAATGAATGAAGAATTAAGACTGGGCTGAAATAAGAGAAAAGGAGAGGAAGGGATTGCTCAGCAAAATACAAGATGCCTTTTCCTATAAAAAATATTTTAAATGGTAATATTTTAAAAATTTGCTGAAGTTGTGTATAGGTTTAAACATACAAGCTAAAATTAAAAAGAAAATAATAAAATGAACAGGAATGTTTCGATCCATTAAATCGTATATATCTTATTTAGAGTCAATATTAAAATTTATTTATAGTAACATATTTTCAGACATAAAAGCAACGATTTTCGATTTCATTACATTATCAGGTTTGTTGTGTTCCTTAAGTGAAATATGGAATACCATGATACTCAGGTGAAGAAATTAATCGAGATCCAATGGAGGCCAAAGTTTCTACATATTTTTAGTGAAATTTTGCGGTTTCGGTCTGATGTAACGATATTATCAAGACAAAAAGTTGCGCAGGTGATGTGGTAAGAATAAGAGAAAACAGGTATAAAATGTTGAAAGAACACAGGGAATGCGCCAGCAGTACGATGAAAATGATCTCCTTGAATGCTTAGTTTGGATAAGTGAGGCTCAAAAGTTGCTAGATGCATCAATGGCGAAAAGAAACGCAGTGATGAAACACCAGCTGACTAAAATCATTATCATTCAAACGAGACAATGGAATATTTTAGTTCCTTCTAAACACAGTCGTACATTTTGTGTCCAGTGATTTGAGCAATAGAAAAAAAATGACAAAAAAAGAAAACCTTTTCCTCAACATCTAGGATGAATAATTCGTTTCGAGTTGTAAGCATAACAAAAGACGTTTCATTCATGTTGCTGTGCAGTCGAATTATTTCTCCTGCATTTTCTGAAATGAAAATAGTAAAGCCGATTTAAGGTAGTACATTTATAGAAATTTATTCCAAAAAACTGTGAAAATGTGAGCTTGACTTGCACAACAAAACATGCCTACGACTGTATATAACCCGGGGATGATAAATTTTTAAGGGAATTTCTGAGACTGAAAAGTTTACCCGGGAATATCTGAAAAGTTAAAACAACGACATCTTTGGGGATCTTCCCTTCCCTCGGCCCCTCTTGTCCATCAGTTGGATGGACTATCGTTGGCACTATTTGTTTATTGCCAAAGATTTCCATGCATGAGATTGCATGCATAACAAAGTCGTTATGGCATAAGAAAACCACTCGAAATACTTGAAACAGCTCCTGGTTCACAGTCCAGTTCCCCCAAATATGCAGCTGATAACCTTTCCAAGTGGTCTGACCAATGCTGTATCGCCTAATGGTCAGTATCTGCCCGCAACAGTACCGAGATTAAAATCTCGCTATTTCTTCTACCTACTGCACTGAAGTAATGGAATTCCCAAATAAATCAGGCTGCGCAAGAAAGCACAAACGAAAACAGTACCTCTTTCGATGATTACTTCTGGATTCTCTTCAATCGTGTGATCATCAAATCGTAAAACACATATTTTAAAATTTCCGACCGCAATAAATAACGACGATGATGTGAACAACATCTGAGTACCACAGATGTTCAGCTTCCTCATTAGTGATATGGAGGGAACTGTAGAATCGAAATTCAGCTTATATATGGTTGTTGTCTGACTGGTCGACATAGCTAGCCAATTACCTTTTCGGCTTAGCGCACTGCAAAAACGCATGGGTCTAATTTACAAACAAAAATAAAGAATTTTAGTACCTACAACTATCGCAAAAATTGGACTTACGGTTAGCAAAACTGAACACCCAACAATGCGATTCTGGCCACAAAAAAATGCAGTCAGAACTGTAAACGAAGAGAAGCAAGAGAAGCAAAAATCGCAGAGAATGAGACGGGACATAAATTTAAGCACAGAATTAAGCTTTTTCAGTCCATTTAGACGTGAACGCTTTAGCTCAGCGCTGCAACTGGACCTCGTCAGTACAACGGTTTCAACAAAAATTTTAGGAGCGAAGGGAAAATAAATAGTGCCGCGCACCAGAGCAGCCGGTGCGATCATGTGTTTTGCGCAGTTCTAACCAGAGAACGTTTGTCTATCAAAGATTTTCACTGCAAAATGTTATCCGGTTTCTAAGTTGTGAGATTTCCCACTAGAAATTTCGCAAGCCGGTACGTGAAAGCTGAATTCGAAACCCTGGACGGGAAACATCCTCCCAAATTTCAGCCTCCCAGTTGTTTCAGCAGTACAAAGGTAGATATTTCTGCAGTGCTTACCTTGATATGATGAAATCTCCGCGATTTGATCGAACCTGAGCAAGCTTCACTGGGCCACATTTTAGAGAATAAATACCTTTCCTCGGCGAGGCAACATCTCCAGCTGTTCCAGTTTTCCAAATAACAATACGATTTGTGTACTGATATGAGAAAAGATCGGCATCCGGTGCAATATTACATACAATCTGCAACCACTTTTTAATTGTTCCTAATCAGTTGGAAAGAAGTCACTGGCGACGCGCACCGGGCGGGCCAGTGCGATCATGTGTTTTTGCAGTATTTCGTGCTGTAATGAGACTGCCCGGAAACCCAGTAGCTAGAAATGTGTGAAATACTGGTGCTCGAAGCTCAGGAAGTTAATTATTACGCGATACTTGGATAGGGAACATTCCATTAAAATTTCAACATCCCAGCTTTCCCAGTTCCTGAGCTAGCCATTTTCTTACCAAAAATTTTCAAGGGGCTGTGCATGGGAGCCATAGAGAAGGGCAAACTTAGCTGTAGTTATACGTTGTACATATGTTGGGAACATTCCTTGAAAATTTCAGCCTCCCAGCTTTCCTGGTTCCCGAGTTAGCCATTTTCTCGCCACCAATTTCTATGGGCCATACTTGAGAACCAAGCACACCGAGGGGCTGAATTCCATAAATTTTTGTCGTACACGTGCTGTGAAAATTCCCTGGAAATTTCAGCCTCTCAGCTTTCCTGGATCTCAAGTTAGCGATTTTTCCGCCAGGAACCTTCACAGGCATGCTGGAGGCTGGATTTGAAATCTTTGTGTTCTACGTAGATGGGGAACATAACTGCAAAGTTTCAGCTTTCTAGCTTTTCTGGTTCCCGAGTTAGCGATTTTCCCGCCAAAACTCCCACCCTCTCGTACGCGAGACCCAGACTTGTGTGGGAGTTGGTGCCGCGGTCCTGGGGTGGCACTCGGCCAGGGAACTCGTAAGCAAAATTTTGGCGACGGAGGTTGCTTGGGTGCCGAGTTGAAATACCCGGACATACACACACACACCATGGGTCGTCACAATATGCGTTTTCGCACTTGCATATATGCCAAAAAGCATAAAAATTAACCAAAGAGGTTTGGTTTATGTATTTTTCGGGAATGGTGCAGTAATAATGCTAATTCGGATCCGGTGCCCCCCTCTGAATTACCAGCAAGCTGACCATCGAATGATGTCGTGTAGAATACAAAAAAAAAAAAAAGAAAAAAAAAACATTTTTCAATTTCGTCTACCACACGAATGTGGACTGCTGTAATTTTATGGGTCAAAACAAAAATTATGCAAACAGAATACAGTGGCATTTTCATTCCTTTTACAAAAAACTTTTATAAATTTCAAGAAAAAATAAAATATATCGCGCAGTAATTTCAAGAACAGAACCCAAAACAGCAGTTTTTTTTGCAGATTTCTGGCATCCAAAAAACTTGTCCGTTCCTGGAGAAATCGAATTCTCAGACAAATATGTTTACAAATTTGATCTTAATGAGGCTAAAAAAAAAAGGGGGAAAAGAGGGACGAGGAGAGTGCGAAGCTGTTATGGTGCAAAACGATTTTTGAATAATTCACAAAAATCCAAACAGCAGCTCAAACAGCGACATAACTTACATTTTTCAAGCCATTGCTGTGTTTTAAGCGACTGCTACTGCAAAAATAATAATCAGCGCCACCGGAATACAAAACTGGCCTATGTTTCGATGCAACTAAAGCACGAACATCGTTCCCATGAACCGTCCTTCGATGCTCCACCCGATAAGCAGTACGGTCCTGTAATAATCAAATTCTTAGGATCAAACAACTAGAATCTTCAACTCATCAGAGATATCTGAGCAATAAACCCTGAAACGATATGAACAGAAAGTCATCGAAAAAATGAAACTGTTTTTTTCTGTTCAAACGCATATTTTCCAAACCTGATTGGCGGCAAGCCGCGCAATTGTTGGATCAACACCGGCAGCATAGAGTGTCTCGTCGGCTACAGCCATCGATAGGACATCAGCCTGGTGCGTTTGCAAACACTAAATTTGCACAAATATTTCATAAAAAAACAATCTTTCTAAAACCGAAAAAGAATACGAAGAAAACCCCCCAGCAATCAATATGAGTTCCCATATAAGTGATGTTAATTTCACATGCTAGAAGGAGCTGTTCCAGGCACTTCATCGTTGAAGCTGCGCACTTTTAATTAGTTTCCATCGCTTGTTCTATATATGTGACCAAAATTTTGGAAGTCGGCCGGTGGTCATTTGTTTTCTCGCAAATAGCACTTACGGTTTCCACCTCAGCAAGACGAAATCAACGTGCTCTATCCGTTGGATTTTACCTCCTTGCGTGATTTCAATGATATCCAGGATGGCAAACAAATGGCACAGATTCCGATAGTTGTAAGGTCACGAAGAGATTCGCTAAGCATTACTTTCATCTGCTGTTATCTAAGTATCAGTCAGCGTTCGCTTTTTTGCTTCCGCGAGAGACCACATTTCGCACTAGTACTTCACCATCCTCAGTTCAGTGGTACTGGAAAGTTAAGCATAGCTATTCCGGTTCAAAAATTCGAATTTCGATTTTGCTGTGAAAAGCTGCGTCAGTTATACCCTTTCTGGGTGTAATCTTTAGTTGGATACTGCGGCACATATTTACTCCTTGGCCAACAGAGATACAGCATTTTACTTCTTCTAAAACCAAATTATCCAAGTTTGATTCGACACCAGTATGTTGTTGGTACTCTGTACTAGCTCTTTTCAATACGTTGATTTTCAGAATCATTCCCCCGTTAAGCTCCAGCAGCATCTCATTCATCTCGCAAGTGCGCTAGTGGTGAAAATTACGAAATCCATGAAGCGCAAATGGTCTAGCTTCTTATCATTGATATTCAAAACCACTTTTCAACAAAGCCTGCCATATACCGTCTCAAAATATGTCAGTTTCTAAGCTAATTTACAAATTCAGAAGGTAAACTAGTTTGTTACATGTGAAAATGCGCCATCTGATGGGTTCCAAAAGGTGATGTATCCGCGCGAATCACCGGATGCCAATAAATCACCACTGAAAATTATCCACATTTTATAACATGCTCACATTTATCTCACCAATGCTGGTCGACTTTATGATTTTTTCATATTTTGAAAATGTTTATGCAAAACTTGTTGGAAGACTGCCGTCTGCATAAACTGTGTTTGGAAATGAACTAATTTTGAGGCAATCAAGACGTCCTTGTAGGAAAAAGTCACAGACAACAAAGCTAATATTACCCTAGTGAGTTTTTCAATCCATAAAAGCTTGAAAATCTCAAACAGAACTTACTACGCAACTATAAAGTCCAATAAACTAATAAAACTAGTACATCAAGGCCAATTTACCCTCTATTTACCCTCACTGAGAAGCAGAAACAGACAGAAGCAACCTGAATCGTAGCACCTAGCGCCATCAAATTTGTCAACAATTTCCTTTTTTTAAAAATTATTTAAAAAAAAAACTACTGTCACAGTAAATTTTGTTCCTTTGGCATGCACCAGTACCAATTTACCATCGAAACGAAAGAACACAAGCAGAGGTGTCAGAGCTGGACTGCTGACCTTCAGCTTATCACTGCGCCATGTCAGTTAGCTAAGCTAATGCAGAGAATCGATAAAACTGAATTACACAAAATGGAACATACATAAAGCAGAGGCACCAGACAATTGTTGGCTTGCGCTTTTCAACACGTGGCAATTTTAACGTATGTTCGATACGCTGCTTCTGCACACTGATCAGCATGATTTCATCCATGGTACCAGCAGCAATGGTAGTACTGTTGCACGCCAAAGACATAATATGTGTGCCAAAACCTGTCAAACGAGTTTTTTTTTTCCTTTTCACAACCAAATACAACAAACCACCCTCGTAAGGATACAGGAAAAAAGGAAGAAAATAAAATCCAGGCAAAAACAAGTTAAGTACCGGGAGATGCAACTTTGGCTGACGCACCCAAAGAAAGGATGGATCCAACGAAGAAAAAAACACATTTCAGTAAAATCGATGAAAAAACTTTTAAAAAAAGCTCTGGTTCACTCTACTGATAATTAGGCGTAACAAAGTTAATATTTACCAGCGGATATTGTTTTCGTTGATGCAATCCAATCATCCTGGAGTGCAAACAGCAATACCGCTCCAGAATCAGAACCGGCGCAAAAGGCACTCGCTGATATTGAAGCTAAACACCACAATGGACTTGGACAAAGTTGCGATGTCTGAAACAAGCGAATGAGTAAGCAAAGCAACGATTCAGAATAGAAAAAATAGAAAATATGAAAACTTGAAATAAAAAATATTGTAGAATGAGCGTGATTTCCAATGGAAATGACAAGCAATAAAAAATTCAACACAAAATGTCAGGTTTTTCTATTCAGGCATATTTTTAGAGCAAAAATATCATTGCAACTGGCTTTCGATGGTACCAAAATGCAAAAACACAATTACGCCAGGCTTCCCCGACTCCCTCTTCTATTTTTAGAGTGCTACCATTGCTCTATCACGATGACTCTGAGACACAAC